AGATAGTCCTGCGCGCCACCGCGTCTTAGAGCCCGGCCGTGCCGGCGGGCGGGCTGGTGTCGCGTAGCTTGTGCTGCCTCGCATGCGGCGTGTAAAGGCTTCCGCACCTTGCAGCTGGTGGTAAGTATCCGCTTAGCTTCCGCGCAACAGGATCAGGAATAACAGAGCTGTGCTCCGTGCCTGTACATCCAGTTCTCGTCAAACAGGCTTCTTTCAAAAGACACGTACCAGTAAATGAACGCACCTTTTAAAGGAAGAAATAGCATCTCCTGGCATTATTCCCCCTGCACCCATTTCTAACTACTCTTCTTTGATCGTCTCTACTCATGTCACACCAGCCACGGGTAATGAAAACGCTGGGTAAACGCAGGCTCCCACATGGATAAAAGACCTTGTCTGCTGGACTGGCAGTGGTGATTTTTTCCCTGGTGAATTTTGCTGCTGCTTCTCAGATGTGGGGGATTCCCATTAAGAATTTTTCATCCCTTGCAACTATTGCCGGCCTCACTGACTAATATTGTCTGAGATTTTTTCTTTTGCAGTTTTCCCATGGGATGGTATCCCTTTGAAAAAAAATTGGTGAGAAAATCCAAAGATGAAAGGGGGCGCCAGAGGAGAACGGCTGGCTTGCTGTGAGCAGATGTTCCCAAGCTGCAGCCCAGCTGTACCCTTCCTGGACTTTTGTTCATTATTCACCATTAGGCCTGGGATAATCCACTGGTGGTTTTGGGGCAGGTTTAGAAAAGCTATACAGCTCTTTCTTTTATAGGTTAAGGGTTATGAAAGTGTCATGACTTTCTGGAAAAAGTTTCCCCTTCTTAATGTAAATCGGCAAGGGAAATTTACTTAACAAATGACTCTCCGACCTGCTTCTGTGCAAAAAGTGAAGACTGGGGTTTGAAAGCAAGTGCCTTCTATCTACTATCTAACGATCGGGGACTAAAGTGCAGCGAGAATGAAGCTGCCTTCAGTCAGAGTTTTGCTGGAGCCACATAGAAATTAAATTTGAAAACTCCCCCTCCTCACTGAGGTGGCTGGAGCCCGAGTTCAGCCGAACAAGCCCCTCGGCGCCTCCTTCCATTGCTGACCTCCAGCTGCTGTCACAGGCGGACTCGGGGCTATTTTTGGAGAGCGTTTGCCAGCAGAAACCTCTTTTTGGGGGCACGCGTGTTTCGATGCTCTTATCTCTGTGTACCTCTGCACGCAGTGCTACGTCAGCCAGCTGGAGGGGACAGAAAGGAGATGGAAAATGACTTCTCTGTGGAAAGTCGTGCCAAGATTAGCCTGCCTCCTGCCCCCAAAAACAGCACTGGCTGCAGCCAGGCCCCGGCCCCGCTCTGCTGCCCGGCCCCGCTGCGGCTGCTGGGCCGTCCCCGGTGCAGCAGCCGTGCAGACTGGTTTTCTTCATACTGAGAAAAATGACATCCTCGGTGGTACAAGTAGCTTTCAGTGCACCCAGACGTGGGCCAGCACCCCAGGGTGTTAGGCAGCCTTCAAGCGCGGGTCAAAAAACAACTCCAGCCCATGTGGACAGTAACAGACAACCTGTGGGTGCAAGGGCAGAGGGAATGCATGTTAAAAAAAAAAAAAAAGTTATCTTTTCTGTGACTTCTCACAGCTAACAATGTTGTTTTACACTATTTGCGGAACGGGATGGAATGAGCTGGTGGAAGGCAATACAAAAGAAAGGTTTTGAAACTGTGAAGAGGGCCACGGACACTGCTTTTATGCTGCTGAAATACCTGTCCTTTTTTTTGCAAATTAACACATTCTGAATTATTCTATGCAATTTTCTACACAGTCAGCATGAGTGAATAAAAATACAAGGAAGGAACAAACTCAGCTTTTGGATACACATTTTTTCCCCTTTTGGTCATGTACCGTCTGTCTCAAATCTGCTTTCATATGCAGCCTGTTGCCTGGTGTTACTTGGGGGGGCTGCCAGGGGATGGGGCCAGGCGTTCGTCCCGGGGACAGAGGGCAGCGCATGAAACCCCAGGATCAAATTTAGCCCTCCTGAAACGGAGCAAAACTTTATGAACACTGCGGTCGTTTTCGTCAAACTGGAGGCCTGATGGTCCTCTTGTTTATTCTGGCCTGATACTCCGCTGTGAATGTATAAATTTTGCAGCAGCGCTTCTTATGCTCATCAGCTTGAGAGGAGACTGAGGTTCTCTGCGTTTTTTATGTGAGACTGTGTTAGTGGTCTCCACACCGGCATGACCAAAGGAGCGGTTTCATCTTGTTCAGAAAAGGACGTCTGCAGGGGTGTCTTGGACGTCTTGCAGGGTCCAAACTGGTGTGGTTCTTTGTTACACGGGCACCGTAGTACGGAGGGCATTGCAAGACCAAGTGGCTGCCTAAACAGCTCTTTGACAAGGTAAAAGGCTGCAACCACGCAAAGTGATTTTGCGCCTGATACCTAAAGCCTGGATTTTGCAAAAGTCTCCTCCGCTCTGGGTGTCTTGACCGCTCCATTTGCAGTGCTGTTGGGCTGCAGGAACGACGTGTTTGTTTTTATTCTGACTTGCAGCACGCAGCTGGCAGGGTTTTGAAAAGCAGCCTTGCGTGCCTGAATACTGAAAAGGGGCAGTAGGATTTTAATCAGTTTTTAAAGTACAGGAAAGATTCTCGTGCTGCTTTCTCAAGCAAACACATTAAGCTGTAATTTCCTGATTGCCACACTAATCATGAGAGCTGTCTAGTGCTGTTGCTGTGGTGCTGTTGATTACCAGCGTTGGTTCCTCAACTTCGTCCTTCTCTGATGGCTGCTGCAGATACCTATTAACTATTTCCTCCCATTTAATCTCGAGGACGATGCAAGTTTAGCAGTAAACATAACAGGAAAAGTAGTTCACAACATTCAGCAGGACCTTGGCCCAGGCTGCTGAAACCATAAGCAAAGCAAAAGAGTTGTGTAAAAGTGCATTTCTTCTGCTCTCAGTCTGGCAATCTGGATGCATACATGTGGTGTAGCTACCTCTTACCTGACCCGTATGCTCTTTGGAGCAGGGCTCCGTTTCACTGCTCCAAAAAATTAAGGACCTTGCTAGGGCAACGGAAGCCAGAGAACGCCTCACATTGTCATTCAGATAACATTTTGCAACTAAAATTGGCACATTTCAGCCTCCCATCTAGAGCTGCTACAGAGATGAGAACTGGGCAGCTGTCAGATTCAAACAATTTGCTGGACTCTAGTGTTAAACAGCGAGAACAGGAAAATATCCTCCTGCTTTCTAATAATAATTTGGCTGTTACTAACTTGAAGCAATAAAAAAAAATGGCCAAATGAGGTCATGGAAATCTTAACCAAAGTTCATTTTTGTCAGCCTAGATGGGAGCTTCTGGGTTTTACACACGCTGTGGCCTCTGCACCTATCTCGTCACGCATTTTGATCAGAGGTGGCCATGTGACAGGTGCTTCAAATAGTATGTTAGTCACAGTATTTCTCTGGCTTATTCAGGCTGACATAATATCCAAGCAAACAGTGCTGGAGGGACCTTTTGGCATATAAAGCTAAGGTCCAGATTACGGGATTTAAAATCCTATGTATATTCCACAGATACAGAAACGGAGTTAACGCGGGTGTCCTGGCCAGAGCCTGGTGAGGTTTGTTGCATTACTTCTACCCAGATTTGCAGCTACTACTATGGTCTCCTTTGTTTTTATTTTTAGACTGAAGCTTATTTCTGGCATCTCTTAAATTCATGTGTTGTGTCCCAGGGAAGATCTGCATTTCTCTGAGTGAACTGTGGGCTGTTTATATATAAATTTGTTGCATTTCTGGAGATCCTTAGGGATGAGATGTATCATATAAATTTAAACTGCTTTTATTGTTATGCCTTAAGAGTAAACATAGCTCAGTTCATTTGAAAATGGCTGCTGCTTGGAAGACAAGTTTTCTCTAGTGTCATTCCTATTTCTCACATGGAAGTTTTGTTAAAGCATGCAATATGCAATGCTTATTCCTTAAGCTGATGCTTGTTTCTTGATGCAGCAAAGCTTGCTAGCGTTCGTGTTTCACATAGGAAAGAAGAGGCTAGGGGTGGGGGAAGAGAAGAGAAGCAGAGCTTGTACAACTTTCCCTTTAGCATTATGAGTAGTGTTGTTACCTGTCAGTACAGCCCCTTCTTCGGTTGCAAGCAGAGTGGAAGCACCTGACAAGGAAAAAATGATCTGGGAGCACACTAGCGATTGAAATTAAGCAGGGACTTTCCCCCCCACTGGCAGCTGGGCCATTTAGTAATGCTACATTCTCTAGTTTTTCCAGCAAGTAAGAATCTTGCAAAGGTGGAGAGAGAAACCTTGGGGGTTTCTCCATGGAAAACGGACCCCGTGGGAACGCAGGACGAGAAACACTGCCGGGCGCAGGGGAGGAGTATGGGCCAGCAAACGTAGACACGTCGAGAAAGGACATAGTTTCCTATATGTTTGGATTATGGATCCAGAGAGTTGAAGTTGGAGCTAGATCCAGATTTCCCCGTGGTACTAGGCGATATACTTGTCTCAAGCCGCTGGCTTGCAGCCCAGGAGCACCCCGGCTTCACAGTGGGCGCTTGGACGTTTCAAGCCGTAGCAGGTCACAGTTGCTCTGGGCCCCTTCATGCTTTTGTGCAACCCTTTTCCCTGAAGCTGGCGGGTGCAATGGCTGCTTTTCGTTCTGGATAAACATAAAAAGCCCGTACACTTGTGATATGTAACCAGCTGCAGCAGTTGGAGCCCTCCCCAGAAGACAAGCACATGGCAAGCCTTAATTAGAAGCTGAACTGTGTGGGCTCAGGGATTTCCCTGAGGACGGATGTGGCAAGCACAGGGGCTTAATGCACTGACTGCTGCAACCGTGTGTCTTTGAGACAGCAGAGGAGCTGAGAAGGAAGGAAACAGGAAATACTAGACAGAATACTAACAGCATAACCCTGAGAAAAAAACAGACAAAATGAACTTTGGGCTGGGTGCTTCCTGAGAAAAAAAACCTTGCAACCGTGAGCATAGGGACTGCCTTGAGGTGGGTGCCTCCTGCACGCGCGCACGCTCTTTGCAGGGAAGCAGCCTCCACCAGCACCAGACCTTGCTCTCTGCTGCTTCTGGCCAACAGCTTTTGGAGCCCTGCAATCTGGCTGCCGCTTGGCTCCGGGAGGGTGACATGGATCTGCAACCTATAAATCACCCGCGGCCAGCGATGTGCGTCAGCAGCAGCTGCTGCTGAACTAGCGTTAAGTGGGGCTTTGCTTCAAATGTCTCAGTGTAAAATGACGTGTAAGGGTGCTCCATGACTGGGCTTGGGAAGTCCTCTCAGGTTTAACCTCGGTTTCTGGAATAGTTCTGGGCTGTGCTTGAATCTGGGGGATCTGCTTTGCAGGAGAGGGCGCCCGCAGCGTTGCCCAGGACAGGGTGTGTTTCCGATGCGACGTCCTCTTCCAGGCCAACCTTCCTCTCAGCTTACAAACCGACGCTGATGAGAATAGGGCTGCAGCGCCTGTGACAGCTGAGACACTTTCTGGAGGGAAGCAAGGCGGGAGAAGAGCTCTAAAGGATCGCACTTCTATGGCTGTTGGGTGAGCTCAGGCTGGCGGACTGGAAGAGGCTGTCGAGACGGCTGTGGGGACTAAACGCTGACTCTGCCAAACTACAAACAGCCCGTGCTCTGCATGCTCTGGGGAGTGACATCCACTCCAAGGACACCAGTTTTCTAGGCCACGTTTTAATAAAAGCCGCATTTTCTCACACAGTCCTCACTCCTTCATAATCTGGCTTATTTTCATGTAGCCAACTATTTACCCCGTGCATAACCTCCCCAAGGGTCGGTGACCACTGCCAGCGAGCTCAGGGCCTCTCACGGCCTGTGAGAAATGGCACCGAGCAGTGCCACCCTGTGGTATTGCACGGGAGCTCTTCCTCGCCGAAAAATGGCTCGTCACCTGCCGTTTTAGAGGGTCGATTTTGGACCACATGTTATGGCCACAAGCCATATTCCAAGAGGGGACGAGAGACACTGGGGACTGGGTTGCGAGTAAGCAAAGACAGCGGCTGCTCGGCAGTGCCCTTGCTCTGTGACGGTGGGGATGGTGCACACGCAGGGTGGGTCGTGTGGGTTGCTCCCAGGGTGGCCTCAGCCACCTCTGTGGCATTAGCCTTCCTAAGCTGGCAGTTTGGGCCACCAAGCAGCTGCTGGCCCAGCCCAGCTGTGCGGGAACCGGCCGCAGCCTGCATGATGCGGAAGAGTTGGAGGCTGTCCCTTCCCCGTTGTTGCGCAGGTTTCTGAGCTGCATCTGGAAATACGGTAAAGAGGAACTGGAATCAACGCTGCCAGTATTTCAGAAGATGCTGGAGGTGGTGATTCATTACTAGAGCTGTATCAGAGAAGAAGAGGGAGCAGCTGGAGAAGACATTCATGTTCTTCATCCTGGGCGGAGTTTCTCTCTCTTCAAGGCTGATTTCCCATTTAGTGTATGCCCTTCAGACTTCTGATTACTTAACATTTAATGAGTATTGTTTACTGAGTGAGGGCTGTGGCATTTCCTAGAGGGAAATATCTCTCTGGGATAAGCTCCTGCCTTTCCTGGCCGGATGGTTTGTGCGCAGGCAGTAAATTCAGTTCTTCTAGAAACTCTGCTGTGTGTGTGCTGGATATCTGGAGTTCCTGCACACGGGATAACCCTGACTACACACAGTTCCTGCTTTCTCTAGATGTCCGGGAACCCTGGACAAATGGGAAAAAGTAATCATTGAATTCTTCCCAGATTCAATTTCTGGTCAGAAAAAAAGAGAACTTGTTTGGGGAAACTGTGACCTGCAGCAACCCTGACTTAGGGCCCTGATTTTATTCTTGAGATACAGAGATTCATGAAGACTCTGGAACACATTGGTGGGAAAGCCAGTATGGAAAGCGAGAGAGTACGGGGATGTTTTTCTCCAGAGCAGCAAAGAGAAGCTGCATCAGTCCCCTCTTTGAAACAAGATGCTCTCATGTTTGGTAGTCACATTACTTAATTCTGATTCTGTCTGCGCCTACAAGCACAAACCCTTCTCTTGGCTGCATCTCCCGCCTCCCAAAGCCCTGCATCCCACTGGCCTTTGCAGTTACCGCCTGTATCCTCACCAGCTGGCCATTCTTTATCCTGGCAGTCCTGGGAAGGAGCAAACATCAGAGCTGAAGTGTTCCTGATTCCCAGGAACCTGCAGGAATCTGACCCCTTGCAGGACTCGGCCAGCTGTACCGTCGCTACCTTGTGTCTTACCCTCTATGGATACAACACCAGCAGCATGCCCTTATTTACTCTTCAGTGGTCCCTAGATCATGTTATATTCGTATCTTCCCTTCTCAAGGCAGTCTTTGGTCACCCACGCTATGTGCTGTTCCTGCAGCGGTCATGTAGCTCGGTGCCTCCGCCTGTCCCTCTGGCACGTCTGTGCTCTCAGCTCTGCCAGCTGCAGCCTCCCGGAGCGGCTCAGCAAAGCCCTGTGCCTGTGCAGGCAGGTGCCTTTAAAGGAAGGCTCCTTCTGGGAGGTGCATGACAGATTAGCCAGTGAGTAATGAACAGCAAAAGGGCATTTGTGGACTGTATACCTGAGATACCCTCTCCCATCCTTACTAACTAGCAATGTGTCTGTCAAATCCCCATCACTTGAGGTCACCTAAGCTCCAAAACTGAGGAGAGGCTCGAGATCTCCTGCAGGGGCTCAGTGACAGCTCCCCGCTCTGTGCCTGAGAGGAGCTGGGCCACCAGTCCTTCCTCTGCTCTAGGGCCCTGATTTTATTCTTGAGATACAGAGATTCATGAAGACTCTGGAACACATTGGTGGGAAAGCCAGTATGGAAAGCGAGAGAGTACGGGGATGTTTTTCTCCAGAGCAGCAAAGAGAAGCTGCATCAGTCCCCTCTTTGAAACAAGATGCTCTCATGTTTGGTAGTCACATTACTTAATTCTGATTCTGTCTGCGCCTACAAGCACAAACCCTTCTCTTGGCTGCATCTCCCGCCTCCCAAAGCCCTGCATCCCACTGGCCTTTGCAGTTACCGCCTGTATCCTCACCAGCTGGCCATTCTTTATCCTGGCAGTCCTGGGAAGGAGCAAACATCAGAGCTGAAGTGTTCCTGATTCCCAGGAACCTGCAGGAATCTGACCCCTTGCAGGACTCGGCCAGCTGTACCGTCGCTACCTTGTGTCTTACCCTCTATGGATACAACACCAGCAGCATGCCCTTATTTACTCTTCAGTGGTCCCTAGATCATGTTATATTCGTATCTTCCCTTCTCAAGGCAGTCTTTGGTCACCCACGCTATGTGCTGTTCCTGCAGCGGTCATGTAGCTCGGTGCCTCCGCCTGTCCCTCTGGCACGTCTGTGCTCTCAGCTCTGCCAGCTGCAGCCTCCCGGAGCGGCTCAGCAAAGCCCTGTGCCTGTGCAGGCAGGTGCCTTTAAAGGAAGGCTCCTTCTGGGAGGTGCATGACAGATTAGCCAGTGAGTAATGAACAGCAAAAGGGCATTTGTGGACTGTATACCTGAGATACCCTCTCCCATCCTTACTAACTAGCAATGTGTCTGTCAAATCCCCATCACTTGAGGTCACCTAAGCTCCAAAACTGAGGAGAGGCTCGAGATCTCCTGCAGGGGCTCAGTGACAGCTCCCCGCTCTGTGCCTGAGAGGAGCTGGGCCACCAGTCCTTCCTCTGCTCCGTAGCCACGCAGGAGCAGCGCTAGCTTACTCGCAGGCCCAGGCAGAGGTACTGGGCTGGTCCCTCGTCCTCCCTGGTAAAGGCGGGGATGGATTCAGCCTCTACAGTGCCATCTGTGTCACGCTGGGCGCTTTCATGACATACCCGCACCCCATGCCCCATACTTACATCCCACGTCCTTGGCTGCTTTCCTATTTAAAAGACAAAGTCTTTGGGTTGGGAATTACCTGCAAGTCTCTGTGACTCTTTCTGTATGTTTGGCTTAGCTGATCTTAAATGACAACATATAGTAGAATTGAAAACAAGACAGATCATCCAAAAACCCAGTTTCAGGCACAGTCTGGCTATGAAACCCAGTCACACTCTTATATCTCAATAACTTCCCTCATCTGCCTCATTACAGGTCTCTGATAATCATTGCTTTGATGCTACCAAGGCGGGGAACCAAAAAGTGGTCTGGAGAGACCCCCATACCCAAAGGAAGCTGCTGACTACGAGGAAGCAGGCGGCGGTGCATTTTTTGCTAGTGCAGCGTTCTGCTTATTTGGGCTTTTCCCACTCACACGTGGGCAAATGTTAACCTTCACTCTGAGCTCCCTGGCATTTCCGTTGGCGTGGTGTGAAAGCAGCGAGGAGCCCTGGGGCAGGGGCTATGGTACGCAGCCCCCTCCCACTTGCCCCCTGCCCATGCACGGGAGATGCTGAGGGCTCAGCCCTGCAGCAGCCTCCCACGCAGGCAGGCACTGCTGTGTGGTGTTTCGGGGGCAGGCAGGGGGGGGCCGTGGGTGCCGAGCCCCTCTGTGGAGGAGGATGGCAGGAAGGCAGCACGGTGGAGGCCTTGTTCAGGGGGCAAAGGGGTGCCTGAGTGGGAGGAGGAGGAAACATCTCAGCTCATGTGGGCTGCTGCGCTGCAAGCCTTGCAGGTGGCTCAAGCAAAGTCTGGAAAACCCCTGCGTTAGCTTAGTTAATTAGCTAAGCTTAGCTTATTTTTGTGTAACCCTTGGCAGATAAGCTACCCTGAGAAATTACCCCCAACACAGTAAGGCATTCACTGGCAGTGGCAGGACTAGTTCCCAATGGTTCCTTTTCCTAAGGACCATCCTGAGGGACCCAAACGTGTTCTCTCACAGGAAGGACGGTGCCTCTGGGAGGTGGATCGGGCTGATAAAAGCCTGTCCTTAGGAGCCCAGCTGCACACTACTTTCAGCTGCATCATTGAAGTGAGTCATGCGATAAAAACAATTAGCTGAAGAAACATCACGAAACAGTGATAATTATCCAAATGTCCTACCATTGACCATTTAGATGACTAAATCCACAGAATCAATCGTGTTAGTGAATGCTAATTCAAGTGTCTAATAACCTTCCGGTTTATTTGATTACGTATAAAGCATTCACCTGCAGTGCTGGTACACTCTGAGGATGCAGAGCCAGCCAGGAGCTCCTGCAGCAGCCCAGGGACCGCCACGTGCCCCCGTGGGCCCCAGGCCGGCAGGCGGTGTGCGCAGCGGCCACGGGTCTGGCTGGAGCAGAAAAAGGGCTTGGTGACATGATGTCTAGGGCGTCCTTCAGCTGTGCAGGTGGCAGCGCTTTCATGGGCTTGGGAGGGAGTTGTGCCCACACAGAAATGTGGCGTGGCCTCTCAGGAGAGGCTATGTCTTCCCCTCTGCCTCCTTGCGTGAATCGTTTCATGTGGCTCTGACACTCCTAAACAGGACAAAACCAGGCAAAATCACAGAGAAATCCATATACTTAGCCTGCGAATAAAGAGTCCAGGGGGACCCACACTTAAATATGAGTTACAGTTTCAGTGGAGAGCAAAGCACACGCTGTACACGTGTTGGAAATGGACCTGCCTGCCCGCCTCAAGCTTTTAATCTCTGCTCCTTTCCTCATCACTGCGGTAGCCAGGCTTTGGGTGCACACAGATATGTTCTGAAGTACTTCATGGTGCGAATGAACTGTAGTACACTTATTTATTTTGTTGTGTCTGGACACTGGCATCACGCTCATCGCTGCAGTATCTGGATCTCCAGAAATGATGGAAATTACAGATTCAATAGGATCCAAATTGTGCAAGAACTCCCCTCAGTCTTCCCTCAAGAGTGCAGTGAACCCCTCCTTGCCCGCTGCCGTCAGACCACTCCAGGTATGTGCAATCAGTGTGCAGGTCAAGCAGGTTAACCCCATCTTTGTTCACTGCTGTGAAGGAGCTGAATCTATATCGTTGTAGACACTTCTTCTTTACAAACAGGTCAGGAATATATTATTTCTAGAAAATGTGAATGCACACTGGGCACCAGGCCTATGAGAGGGGCTATTTCTTAGTTAACATCTGTGGGCGCTCTGAAGATACGAATTCAAGAAAGCTTTTTTTTTTAATCAGTATTTCAAAGATAGAATGAGAGAAGGTACCAAGAGGGCAGCCTGTCCTGAAAACTGTTGTCTGTTGTGTTATTTTCACACATTCAGAAATTTATGTAGATCTCGTAGTGCTTTACAGTGCAGGAAAGGGTGAGCATATATGGTGTACGGACTGGTGATGCGCTTTCAGGGTGCCAGGGATGGTGAAAGCCGAGCGCCCCGGAGGTCAGCAGGAGCCGGACTGTGGCTCACGGGTTTCACGCCCGTGCTCTGTCTGCCAAACCACGTTGTCTCTCTCAGGTAACAAACGGCACAGACATCCGCAAGGCAAACTTTTCCTACTACCCCCTGTTTAATCTCACAATGCCATTTCAGGGTTTTCTAAATGACGCTAACACAAAATGAATCATGACATGCCCCGGCAGAAGCAGCTCTGTCCCACTCGCAGGTCCCATCTGCAGGAGGTGAGCGGCAGCCTCCCTGGGGGCTGTGCCCCAGGGCTGTAGCAGCAGGTCCGGCTGTGCCCAAGGTCCATAGCAGCAGGTCCCTGCAGCTGGGGCAGGAGCTGGCCCAAGTGATCTGCCACTGCCTGGCTTGCTGGCAGTTGGACCATGCAGTGCCGCTCTCCGCAAGGTGTCAGCAGCACATGTGTACAACGCAGCTCCTGGCTGCTCTCCCAGGCAGCAGGAACAGCCCTTGTACCAACAGATAGGGCTCTTCTGCTTGTCTGTTAATATTAACATTCATTTGCTCTTTGAGGCAGGCTATTTTTATTTTTTTAGGTTGTTTTGTGTACGTAATATAATTATATTGGAGTAGAATTCTTATACTTAATCAAATGAAGCTTCATGTAGCTAGTTTGTCATTAACATTCACTAACGAATGTGACTGTGAGGATTTAGTTTCTCGCATGGTTAATAGGAAGGCATTTGGATAATTACAGCTGTCTAGTGTCTTTCCACTGCTAATCACTTTTACTGCCTGCTTCATTTCCAGACCAGCAAATGAAACTTTAGCTTACAATTGGGCAAGGAAACTGCTGCTGCAGTTATGCACCCCTGTATCCTCTGTTTGATGCTTTGTAGATGTGAGGTCAGTTCCTGGCTCCATCCTAAGTTTCATAGGAACCTCAGAAGATCACAGCCTTGCTATAATCCAGCTTTCTACTTGGGAAATGGGTATAATGACACTGTCCTATCACACAAGTTGTCACCAAGATATTATCTCAGAACGGCATATACACATCAGCCATGAGGGGCAACAATGTAATTTCCAAAAGACTGTCTTGCTAGGCTGCTTGCTGCACTGGGAGGGTTGTCGCTCCATCACTTTCCAACAGGACCGTCCTGAGGTATGTAGCATTCATACTAGACAGTTGGGCATGGCAACCACACGTGCACAGCCCAGCTGCACTTTGGCACCAAGCTGTCAGTTGACAGTGAGCAAAAACTAGGTCATATCTGAGAGCAGATGTTGCACCCTATCGCCCACTTCCTAAGCTGAATATAAGAGCACTGAAACAACTATGCCGTGCCACTCTGTGCAGTCCAGTGCCCTATCTCTGACACTGAACAACTGAAGACGCCTATGAAAGAAAAAGTATAAGAAGATAAATATATATCAAGACTGCTCCTGGAATACACATACAATTTTCAGTGTTTTTGGGGCTTCCTGTGCAGAAGTTGCACCTGTGTTTAATAGCCCCTTAGGGATTTAGCCTTAGTGAATTTATCCCATCCATTGATGGGCTTCTCTGTGTCTTTGGTCTCTACAGTAACCTGTGACACTGAGATCCACAACTTAATTATACATGCTAGGCTGCATTAGGAGAAGCACTGCCAGCAGGTTGAGGGAGGAGATCCTCCCCTTCTACTCAGCCCTGGTGAGGCCACATCTGGAGTACTCTATCCAGTTCTGGGCTCCCCCAGTACAAGAGAGACATGGAGCTACTGGAGTGAGTCCAGCAAAGGGCTACTAAGATGATGAAGGGACTGGCGCATCTCTCATATGAGGAAGAGCTGAGAGAGCTGGGCCTGTTCAGCCTGGAGAAGAGAAGACAGAGGGGGGTTCTGATCAATAGGTAAAAGTATCTGAAGGGAGGGTGTCAAGAGGATGGGGCCAGACTCTTCTCTGTGGTGCCCAGTGACGGGACAAGAGGCAACGGGCACAAACTGGAACACAGGAAGTTCCATCTGAACATGAGGAAAAACTTCTTTCCTGTGAGGGTGACAGAGCACTGGAACAGGTTGCCCAGAGAGGCGGTGGAGTCTCCATCCAAACACATTCCTGTGCAACGTGCTCTTGGTGAACCTGCTTGAGCAGGGTGGGGGCGGGAAGGGCTAGATGATCTCCAGAGGTCCCTTCCAACGTCAACAGTTCTGTGATTCTGTGATGATCTGAAAAGAAAACTCCACCAAAAGTTCCTGGTATTTCTTTTAAAACTACAAGATGATAGATTAATTGAGTAATAGGCATACTTCTGTTATGTAAAATAGGGAAGGGGATTCCTTCCTCATCTTCTTAGCCCACTCATGAGGTAAATGATCATTACTGAGCCACCCTTTGCTGTCTCCTTTCCAGGCTTCAGCTAGTCCTATTTCTAATCTGTTTAGTTTCTTCTCATATGGGAACCATTTCATACTTCATCACCCTTTACAGAGCCTTTATTGGTTTTGTGTTTTTTTTTCCTATGTATCTCTTTGACATAGGTTGCACACTGTATTTAAGAAGGGTTTATACAGAAGTAAAATAATGCTTCCTGCTTTTTTTCCTATTTCTTCCTATGAAATCTGATAATT